TGGAGTTGCACATGTGTCCCCCCGAGAAATAAATCTCGACACACAAGTCACAACAATGAGGTCGCAACCCGCCTGTCCCTTGTGCCCGACCACCCATCCCAAACAAGCGCAGCTGTCAGCTCCGCTCGAGACAAACGGTTTCACTGTGTTGGGCGCGTCGCATGTCCTGAAAGCTTCATGCCGCCCCGCCTGCCTCATCCCAAAAGAGCAGCTCCGTCAGCCGTTCCACTTGCGCCACCAGCCCGCCCTCGGCCGCGAGCCCCGCCCGCGCGTTCGCCGCCGTCACCGCCGCGGCGAGCGAGCAGTCCGCGTCCAGGCCGAGGTGCGTGCGGATGCGAGCGACCTTTTGCTGCAGAGTGGCGCGGCCTTGGCCGCCTGCGCCGTTGGCAGCGCCGTTGGCTGGTGGTGGTGGGCGCGACTCCGCCTTGAGAGCCGCGAGGCGACCAGTCAGCTTCTCCTCGCGGGCCCTCGCCGCCTCCTCGCTTGCACTCGCCTCTGCCGCCTCGGCCCTCGCCTCTGCCGCCTCGGCCCTCGCGGTCGCCTCGCGGGCCCTCGCCGCCTCCTCGCGGCCCCTCGCAGCCAACCGTTCGACCCTCGCTTCCGAGATTGCATGCTCAAGCGCCCGCTGCGCGATGGACTGCTGAGACTGCGCCACCCGCTTCCGCTCCTCCGCCCGGGCCGCCTGCTGCCGCTCGCCCCGCACCTCGCGCTCCGCCAGTGCATCGGCTGCTGCCGCGGCCCGCGCCTCGCGTTCCAGCCACTCCTCCCTGTCCCGCTTTGCCGCCTCGGCTGCCAGCGCCGCACGCCGCGTCTCCTCCGCCACCCTCTCTGCGCGCCTCGCCTCTGCCGCCGCCGCTTCCTCGTCCTCGCTCTCCACGTCGACCTCCTCCTGCTGCGCCGCACCGCAGTTGCCTCGCTGGCGGAGGCCGCGCTTCTTCTTCTTCTTCTTGCCCGTGCGCCGCCCCTGCGGCCCCAGCGATGCCTTGGCCTCCTCCGCGATGAGCTCATCCGCCAGCCGCTGCCGCCACTCCACCTCAAACTCGAGGTCCTCGGCCGCTGCCGCCTGCGGGGCAGCGCACTCCTGCTGCTCCTTCCGGGCTGCGAGCGCGCGGCGTGCCCGCCGGTACTTGTCGTCAGAGAGGGCGTCATCCGGTGGCTCATCGCGGCTCAGTACGAGTGGGTTGAAAGCAATCCCTCCGAGGCCGGGGAATTTGAGCTTCAGGCCATTGCCGTTTGCGACGCTCGGAAGCGCACGGCCGACCACCTCGCCTCGCGTTCCGTACTTGAGCACGGCGTTGTTGTCCAAGCAGAGATCTGATCCCACGAAGTACAGCAGCTCGCCCACACGAAAGCCTCCGGGCAGAGGCACAGGCGGGTCGCGGCTCAGTTCTGTCAGGCGGCAGTCAGTCAGGAGGTCGTTCTCGGGGAAGAGCATGGCGAGGCCCTTGTCTCCAAACGTGCCCATCACCTCGCCCGCCTCGCCATGCTCGACCATGTCGCCATTCTCAAAGGTCTGATCACGCCCAGTGAAGTGTAGTAGGTCACCCACAGCAAAGCCGCCAGGCAGCGGTGGAGCTGGCTCAAAGCTGAGCTCGTCGACGCAGCAGTCGATGTGGTCTTCGATTGAAGGGAAATACACCTCAGCAAGCCCGTCCTCGATGTCCTCCAGGCTGGTGACCTCGCCATACGTACCGTACGCCAGAAAATCGCCGTCGGTGTCGCGCTGCCACCGCGGGTATCCGCTGCCAGTGAAGTAAACCTTGTCGCCGACAATCAATTCAACAGGATCCACCATTCACGTTACGTTTGCCGGCTCTCTCGACGCAATTCACGCGCTAACTCTCGACCGGCAAGCTGCACTCCAAAGTGGCCCAGGATGGCGCCGCTGGGGGCTAAGACGGTCTTCTTTTTCGGCAGTGTCGCGAGCCGTGCTGCCTCTGCGGGCGGCCCGGGGCGGCGGGCCAGTAATGCTTGATGCCTCCACTGTGCTTGATGCCTGTATTTTTTCTTTTTTTTTGCTCTTGATGGCGCCCCTGCAGCAGTCTGAGCTTGAGGCTTCCGCGCCGCCAGCGGTGGCGGTGGCAGAGGGCTTGCGCCTGCACCTCTCGAGCAGCAACAGCACCGGCTACAAGGGCGTCTACTTTCTGAGCGGCCGCTTCTATGCTCAGCGACGGAGGCCAAGGGGGTCTCTCTCTCAGAGGCCGGACCGCCACCTCGGCTTCTTTGGCTCGGCGGTGGAGGCGGCGGTGGCGTACGCGAGGGCGGTCGACGAGGCGGAGGCGGCGGCGACAGCGGAGGCGGAGGCGACGACAGACCGAGACGAGCACCCCACCTACCAACTCCGCCGCGCAGCCGCGACGAGTACGTCCCTGGCAGCCGCCGCCGCCTCCACCTCTACCGCCACGTATGCGCGAGGAGACCGCGTCTCGTCGGCACCGCGGCCCGGGTATGGAAGGAAAAAGGCGTGGTTCCCCGCACGGATCGCCGCAGTCAACGCAGACGGCACGTACGATTTGGTCTACGAGGATGGCGACGAGGAGGAGGGCGTCGCGGCCGAGCTCATCCGGCCCGAGCAGGCGGCGCCGCCCGAGCAGGCGGCGCCGCCCGAGGCCGCGGAGCAGGCAGAGGGCAGGAGCCCAAAAGCGCGCAAACTGGCGCGGCCGGCCGTGCCACCGCCGACGCCGCCTCCGCAGCCGCCGCAGCCGCAGCCGCAGCCGCAGCCGCCGCCCAAGGGGCTGCCAGAGCCACCACCGCCGGGGTCCGCGCCCGCAGCAGCAACCCTGCCGCCGGGCTGGAGCGTCGAGCAGCGCACGACCTCCTCGGAGCGCACGTACTCCATCTACCACAGCCCAGCGGGGCTGCGCTCCGCCTCGCTGGCTGACGCGTGGCGCAAGCACGACGCGGAGGCCGAGGCGGAGGCGCTGACGCTAAACTGGCTGGATCGGCTGCCGCCCCGCCGGCTCAAGCCGCTCTGCGGGGCGAGAGGGCTGCCGACGTGCGGCAACTCGGAGGCGCTGGCGAGGCGGCTGCGCGAGAGCGGCGGTCTGAGCGTGTCGCAGCTCAAGGCGCTGTGCGAGGCGGAGGGCCTCGTCAAGCAGGGCACCAAGGCGGAGCTCGCCCGGCGTTTGCTCGACAAGCAGTCTGCGGGCGCGGCGGAGCCGGCGGCGGGCAAGACCGCGACGCGCGGCAAGGGCACAAAGCGGCCGGCAGAGGCAGAGGGGCTGCGGCTGCACCTCTCCAGTAGCAACAGAACCGGCTACAGAGGCGTGTGTGAGCATCACTCTGGCCGCTTCGTGGCGCGGCACGTGGTGGACGGGAGGTACTGCAGCCTCGGCAGCTTCGGCACGGCGGTGGAGGCGGCGGCGGCGTACGCGCGGGCGGTCGCGGAGGCGCCGGAGGATGCAGCTGCGGAAGAGGGGGAGGAGGCAGAGGAGGGGGAGGAGCGGGAGGAGCGGGCAGAGCCGGCGCCGGTGGTCGAGGAGGCAGAGGGGCTGCGTTTGCACCTCTCGAGCAGCAACAGCACCGGCTACATGGGCGTGTTCAAGGTGCGCTCTGGTCGCTTTTCGGCCGAGACCGGCGGTGGCGGCAGATTCCTACGCGCGCATCTGGGCACCTTCGACACGGCGGTGGCGGCGGCAGTCGCCTACGCGCGGGCGGTCGGGGAGGCTCCGGCGGTGGTGGCAGATGCGGGAGGGGTGCGGTTGCACCTGTCTAGCCGCAATCCCACCGGCTACCGCGGTGTGACCAAGGATTGCGGCCGCTTCCGGGTTGAGATCAAGTTGAATGGGAGGCGGGTCCACTTGGGCACTTTCGACACGGCGGTCGAGGCGGCGGTGGCGTTCGCGCGGGCGGGCGGGGAGGGGCTGACGCCGGCCTCACGCGGCAAGGGCACCAAGCGCCCTCGCGAGCTCGGCTGCTTTTGCGACACCGACCGCCACCTGCCGACCAACAACCTGCCGTTTGAGGGCGTGTGGATCAGCTGCGACGCGTGCGGCCGCTGGTGCCACGGCGAGTGCGCCGGTGTGGACAAGCAGCAGGCCGAGGAGGCGGAGGAGTACATCTGCATGCCCTGCGCTGCCGCCGACCAGAGCGCGGGCGCGTCCTCCGATGGCGGCTCGCCGCTCATCGTTGCTGCCGTCGTGAGCGACGGCGACGGCTCCGACGGCGACGACTCTGCAGACGGCGCAGAGTGGGTCGACGCGGAGGTGGTCGAGATGGCGTTCGACGGGACGAACGCCGTCGGATCTGGCCGCAGCTCGGGCGAGCCGAGCGGCGGGTCCGACTTTTTGATCGCGCCGGGCCGCGCCCGGCCGCCACCGCCGCCCTCCGGGTGGGTGTGGCCGCGCGAGGGGGGTGTGATCGAGGTGGAGGTGGAGGAGGAGGAGGGGCAGCCCGCCGCGTGGCTCCGCGCGACCGTGACGGCCGTGCTGGAGGACGGTTGGTTTCAGGCGCTGGTCCGCACGCCGTCCGACGAGGCCGGATGGCACGACTGGTTCTCGTGGCGCGAGGAGGGCACCGACTGGCGGCGCGTGCCGCCCCGCCAGGAGGCAGCGGCGGAGCCGTCATCGTCGTCGTCGGCGGCGGCCGAGCCAGAGGCGGCCGAGCCAGAGGCGGCCGAGCCAGCGGAGCCATCAGCGGCGAGCCAGCGAGGCGGTGCGATCGAGGCGGCGCCTGCGGGCCCGGCGCCGTGGTCGCGGGCCGAGGAGCAGCACCTTAGCGAGGCGATCCGCGAGTCCATGCCCGCGATCCATGCGCGCTTCGCCGCAAAGGAAGGCGGCGGCACCGCCCGCTCGGCTGAGGAGCTAATGGGTCGCTTCGTCGCGGCCGCGCGCTGGCAACGCGCAGAGGCGGCCGCGCGCTGAGTCGGCCAGGGGGCAGGGGCAGGGCGCGGCGTGGATCTGGAGAGTTGGAGCTGGAGAGTTGGATGAGAGACAACGAGACGGGTTGTATGCTGACGTGCGGGTCTGGTGGGGGTGGGGCGTGGGGGTCAGGTGAGAGCA